TGTAGTTTTAAATTAAACATTTACATTTTTGAAGTTATGGAAAGCAGAAAAATAAAGATAAAGAACACTACAGGAAAAAAACATGTTTCTAAATGTCATGCTTTTGATGCTGTGGGGAGGTTACTAACAGTTTCAGAAAAGAATGCCTACACAAAAGAGCTCAACCTTCATTATGTATATTTTTGCCACAAGGAATTTTCTATAAGCTGTTACAGTATCAGAGCTGTGTTGGTCAGTGATTTGTACATTCTGTGGCTTCAGTTTTTCCTTTTGAAATCAGCTCCCAGACTTCTGAGAACTGAATGTTTGCCAGGACTGAGTCAAATTTTCCTACCTTTTGAATTAGTCTGTTTCATGATTTCTGCGTGTATTCCAAAAATACAAGACCAGTTTACATCGCAATTGGGAGACTATCAGATACTCTTTGGCATCCTTTATCACCAGGACTCTCACATGACATTCCCTGATCCAACCCACTCCCAAACACCTCTCCTCTCCTTACCCACAACTCCCATTGGATCGCCCACTCTTGATCACAAAACCATATGCATACAATCTCTTCAAATTTTCTTTTCTCCTTGTAATAACTAAACCTGTTTAACCAGGACCACTGAATTTAACATACACTCTAATGACCACTCTATGGGATGTTATTTCTTATTCTCTGGATAGGCACCTCTTAGCCCTCTAAGAAATTATTTCATATATAATTTTTCCATGTTTTCATACTTTTACTCTTAGAGGATCTTATAATTTGGGTAGTACATTTCAATCACTTTAGTAGCATTCTAGTAGCTACGCTTTTGCTGATTTAGTTATTTTAGAAGCTTTCTGAAATGAGAAATTCATTTCAGTGTTCAGATGTTTTGTTGATTCATAGAAGGCTGGTTACTGTTTTATGAGAGTTCTTTTATGAGAATACTATTTGAGTTCTTATAGGACCTCAGTTAGAAACACAGCAGTGTTAACTATTTCTTTAAATTAGTAGTCAGAACTATTAGCTGGAGATTAGTTGAGTTATAAAGAGGTACAATGATTGATTAATTCAATTATTTGTGAACTCACAGTTATATACTAAGTCCTCATCACAGGCTAGACACAGCAAACTGCCTTTAGGATACAATAATCAAACCAAATGCGGGCTCTTCCTTCAGGAGGAGATAGATCTAAACAAGAACACTAATTATAAATGATAATAACACAAGATATTAAATTCTATAAGTACTCCTTAGAAAAATCCTAGTATGTAATCCCTGCGGAAGGAAAAGAGGAAATATAAAGGCAAGTAACTTTTTGAGAATGGATGCTTCAGGGAAAAAGAAAACAAAACTAGACAAAAGCAAATAAAATTTTACCAACTATTTTTCTTTTATTTACATGTACCAATGATTTATGCCCATGTAGTTCCTGCATTATGGCAGTTGGGTGTATGCAATGTGTTTGTTTTTCAATTAAATAAAGGGAGTAGTTTTTGTTCTGCCTGGATTTTAGAAAGTTCTGGAAGTCAGTCACAGCTGTACATTCTCATATATTGCTTCTACCCCCTCACTGTGATGCTGCTGGTGATGCCTACAAGTGAGTGCGGATTCAGAGCATATTGGCTTTCTGCTCCTTTAGTAGAGTCTTTGGAAACACAGTGGAGTGTTTAACTGGTCTGTAAACAGAAGACTTGGGCTAAGTGCTTTGATCCAACTCTCCTGCTTCTCTTGGAGTTTTATGTTTTCCAGGTCCTTACATATGTTTTTTCCCCTAAATTCAGATTTTATTTTTTGCAAAGAATACCTTTGTAATTTAGTGAATGAATTAATTACTTTGTGTTTTACTACTTAAAACATAGATAGCATTGCCTGATTCCATTCAGTTTAACTGTCAGATTAAAAATAAAGCTATAATTATAGATACTTGACTAGTGCAGAATAACACCAATCATAAGGACATTGTTCTGGTTTTGATTTCAAAGCAATCTTGAGCAAGACTCCCTTGAATTGGAACATGAGTCAGCATTTAGCAAAGCTGAGTTTAAACCTCTGCTCCAGATTCTAAGTGACAGAGAACTTCAAACTAGGGCACTGTTTGTTCATAGTTTTAGGTATCTGTGATTTACTTGGCATTGCTAGACAATAGGGGCTTCGTTTCATTTATATTTTTAACATTCCCTAAAATAAATCAGAGTGTTCCCATTTTGGATGTGGATTAGTATGGCGGAGAAAACAAAGAACTTACAAGTGCTGAAGATCCAGGGATTACGTGTGTTCTGTACTGGATTGCCTTGGTTAATATTTTTTTCGGTTGCACGAAATAGAAACTGGCTCTGGCGAGCTTAGGGAGAAAAAGTAAGTGGTGCTGGCATATTAGAAGAATATTTGGTTATCTAATAGAATCCAAGACTCAGGAAAGACACTGGATCAAGAGACTTCTGACCTCAGAGTTCCTTTCTGTCTCCCTAGGGGAAAGTAGTTGGAGAGTCTTAGCATATGTCAAGAGGCCCAGTTGGGATCAGACCTTCATCTGTGGATTGGTAAATCAAGGTCAGAGGGGCAGAATTATACTGTTTAGCCAGTTGTTAGTGGGCTACCACACCTGTACTTTGTGGGTAATTCCCAGAGAAAGGGGAATTACTGTGAACTGGTAGCCACACCAGCGAGGTCTACCATGTGAAGCATTTTACAGGCTTAATTTAATTTGCACAAAAAGCCTATAAAAGTCACTATTTCCACATCACAAATGAGAAAATTGAGACGCAAATTGGTTAGGCAACGTGTCCAATGTCCCACAATTAGCATGTGGCAGACCTAGAATTCCAACTAAACTTATAAGGGGGAGGGGCATATTCTTCTCTTAAGGGATTCATGTGATAAAAGACTACATGAGATAGAAACTGTGAGATATTTTCTCTTGGAGAAAATATTAGGTATCTCCAGAGTACTAGAAAGAGTAAAACTGAGTGTTGAAAGCTCTGGGGTTGAATCCCAGCTCCACCCTATCATCATGGGCAAGTAAACATCTAATCCTCTTAACTCATAAGTGCTGAATATCATCTATTTCACAAGGCTATTTTAACTTCTCAGGGTTGTTGAGACAACATGTGAAAATACTTGGCATAAAGCAAATACTCATTTTTTGGTGGAGGAAATAAACGTTTTTATTAATGAATCCTTAAGCAAGCTACCAAAAAACGAGTCACAATTTGAGACTGGCTTTCTCACTCAAAAAAATGAATGGCTTCTTCACCTAAACATAACAGTAGGAAATGTTACATACAAAGAGTTAAGGAAATCATGCAATAGGCAAAGAAAGTCTTATATACAAAACATTTGACTACTTTGCTTTAAGACTTTGAGCCCACATTGCAGGAAAAAACTTACCTCTGCTCATAGCATACACTTAGTCACCCAATTCTCTTAGTGAATACTACCTGAGGTGGTCGGATAACCAGAGCAAAAAGTGACTTCAGTTCTGAATGTGGAAATCTCTGAACATCACTGAAACATTAGCTAATTTGGTTTGGAATGATTAATGTATTCAAACATTCTAAGCCCAGATGATAATTCTCAGTTATCTTTAAGGGCAGCTCTGTGGGAAAGCAAGCACTAAGCAACCCAAGAGTTTATTATTGTGCACGGTGGGTGTTCTGCAAATACTCAGAGACTGATTGGTATTAATTTGTTCCAAATTACTTCAGACAACAATTAGTCTATGTCAACAGTGAAGTTGGAAGCTTAAATGGAAGAAAAAAATCTTTCTGTGGTGATAGGGATGAAAGAGAGGTGTGGACTATTATATTCTCTTGATGTTTCCATTATTTCTGGATCTTAGTTTGTGACCTTCAATGCTTCATTTTCATATAAATCATCTCTGAGTTAAGTTGTAAAATACCCTATCATTTTAAATTTGATGACAAATAGTCAAGTGGTTTTAAATATGACCATAACATTGTGTCATTGGCTTGTTCCAAAGTTAAAAGCCTCTCCCATATTTTTTAAAATATATTTTTATTGATTTCAGAGATGGACGAAGAGGGATAAATAGAAACATCAATAATGTGAAAGAATCATTGATGGGCTGCTTCCTGCATGCCCTAATTGAGTGAATAACTGAGGCATGTGCCCTGACCGAGAATCGAACTGAGGCCTATGGTTCATAGGTTTATGCTCAACCACTGAGTCATGCCAGCCAGGTGCCTCTCCTATTTTTTTCTATACTGCAATTCAAGTCAGTGGCCTGCTTGCCGTAATTCCTCATTTAAATTTGTAAGAGAAAACTAGTTATTCACATTTGAAGAGTTTTTGTAAATATTTAGGGCAAGCATGTCAAACTCAAAGGCTAACATAGGCCAAATAAACAAGGTTTAAGTTTATGTGGGCCGCAAAAAAAAAAAAAAAAAAAAGCTTCAATCTTCATGGAAACGTAGGTTTATTTCAGTGAAGACATGCTAAATACAAAGGACTGAAATAAATGAGTAATTGTTAACATAAAATAATAGAACATTTTAATAAAAATTAATATTTTTTCTTGAACATTAACTTACCAGACACCGAGAAACTTCACAAATAAGCATAACACAAATAAACCTACTTTTCTTATTCTCCGAAAGTGAAACATTTCCTGTTGCACACACCCCACAAGTTAGTACAAGACTAATGACCTGGCAATCAGCAGCTAAAATATGTGCTGCTAGTATTAGTGGAGAGAAATGGTGCGCCTGTGTGTAAGACGCATAAGGGAAATGAATGCAACACGATTATAGTAATCAGTCATTAGTTGTAGTTCATTATTAATAATTATGTATAACAGGATATTATAAAAATTAAGTTATGAAATTTTTATTAAAGGATTTCTTACATACCGTGATATTGGCTAGACCGCAAAAATATTCGTTGTGTTTGACATGCCTGATTTAAGGTGTATGTTAAAAAATTATCATCCATGGATATATAAGTATAAGAATTTTTTTTTAAAGGAAGAAAAAATGAACTTGAAAAGGCTAAAAAATGACCAAATAAGTTTCTAAAGCTCTTTTTATTACACTAATGAATCCCATAAAATTACAAAGCCCACAAAAGTAGAAGCATTTCAAAAACAAAAGAAATTGCTTGCATAATTTTAATGACAACATTTAGTTTTGGTGTTAAAAAAAAAAACCAAAAAAAACCCCAAAAAACTCTCATGATTCTGCATTGAAGCACACTGCTCATGAATTAAGCACATCATGAAATTCTGGGCAAGAATTTCATATCTCTTATATGAACCTGACTTCATGTAAATGGTTATGTTACGTTCCCTTTCTAGAGATTAAGTTCATGATATGATTCATTTAAAAATGAATTTATTGATTCACAGTGACTTTGAAGAATAGAAACAGGAACAAAGCATATATCATACACATACCCCTTTAAATGGTACATTAGATCAAAGTGAAATTAATATAATGATCTTTAGTGTTTTCAACTGTTACCAACAAAAATAGATCCCTCTACAGAAAAGAACTGCGGTAATGTCAGAAGGAGATGTTGAAATCTATGCTGTTTTTATCCTCAAATAAATGCATGATTACATTCTAGAATCATATCAAGAGTCACTGTCAAGCAATAAGTAAATATATTTACTGCTTCTGCCAAATATAACATAACAGGCCAGAGGCTGTATCGTTTCTAATTAACTTCTGGTAATGAGGAAATTTTCAATGGCTTTTGAGTCACATTACACATTCTGTTGCTGCTGCTACCAAAATAGTAGTAAAGGTGAAGGAGTAAACAAAAGAAAATAAATTACATCTCTTGATGATTCTAAATATTGTTTTGGTTTATCGTTGAAGTGGAAATCACTTATCCAAGGCTTGGAAAGAAAACAAAAGCATCTTTGTAATTCACTGCATGTATTATTGGAGAGGTCTAATGATTTATCCATTGCCAGTGTGGGTTAGCTTGTCATGTCCTCTTTACTCAATGTCAACTGGTTCCGTAGCTATCAAAGCACTTAGCTGTTTCTGAGCACAGGAGAGGAATAGTTCCAAACTGGACAGGCTTCTTTGGCGGATGACTTGATCAAGCTGTCAATATTTTTTTTTTTTTTAAGAGAGAGAGAGAGACAGAAAAAATTACACTTAGTTGAGGGATAAAGAATATTATGTCATTGAAGGCCACTGGAGAAACCATCTTAGATGATGATTTAGAAAATCAAGTAGTGCTTTAAACTTAGAGACAAAGTAGTCACTATTCCTGGGCTATTATCTAAGATAAGAAGATAAATCATTACAATTTCATAGTTGATGTTATTCAGTTATTGAAGAAATACCATAAGTTTGGCTAGAGTGATTTAAAAATATATAAATACAATAGTATAAAATTCCAGTTCTTAAAGAATATACAGATCAATCATCCATAAAGATCATGTAAATAAACAGATGCAAAACACAAAAGAAATATACAGTAGAGAAAAGCAGCATAATTGCATCATGTATAGGGTTTAGTAGGGCAAAGAATAAGGGAGAAATAAACAATTTTCTGAAATTAGAGAACGTTCTTGGAAAAGGTGTACTTTAAGATTGTTGAAGCTATTGGACTTGGTCTTCCTGCTGAGTTAGAGGTTTTTTATTAGGATTTAAAAAAAAATGTTTCAATAAAAGTTAATATAGTAAGAGGTTTAATAATGAGTCATATATAATAAAGAACTTTCAGAATGGTAAGAATTACTGAATACATCAAGGAAACTTTCTAACTCTTCTTCCCTATTTGTTCATGGTGTAAAAATTACCATTAACAACACAGTAAAAGAAAACCAAATAAATTCCATTTCACAATATATACTTGTGATTTTTATGCAAAAGTTGAAATATCCTTCATACAAATTCCCGCCAACATAAAAGACAAATCCAAACAAAAATTCTGAAATCACATTTCTATAACCCACTGATATTCAAAAATGACTGAAAAAACTGGAAGATTAAATTTTTGAAGTATCCTAAGAATTAATTAATAAAAAGAATATTATATGTAGTAAAATGCTCATGTAAAATGATTGAACACTCCTAACATTCCCTTAAATGTTAATATTTTGTGAATTTAATATATTTACAGAAATAGGATTCCTGCTTATCCATTTTCCTGATTTTATTTCCTTTTCCTCTAAATGATAGCATTTGGGGAATATATACTTTCTGCTTACAAGTGTCTATTAAAACAGACAGTTCATTGCATTATAATCCCCAGGTAAATGGAGATCTTGCCTGTCTTGCTGACTAGTGTACTCCAGCATCTAGAAAATGGTCTGGCACATGTTGGACATATAAAATACTTGCTGTGATTGAATCAATCAATACATATTTAAGCCTAATAGAGCAAGATAATCTACTATAAAATGATAGATGCACTTTTAATTCTTAAAGTGAAACATACTTAACCTAATCTAAAATCTTAGTAGGAATTAAAGTTCAAGTTTTTTTTGTTTTGTTTTTAATATATATTTTATTGATTTTTACAGAGAGGAAGGGAGACAGATAGAAACATCGATGAGAGAGGAATATAGATCAGCTGCCTCCTGCACACCCCCTACTGGGGATGTGCCCACAACTAAGGTACATGCCCTTGACTGGGACCCTTCAGGCTGCAGGCCAATGCTAACGCTCTCTCAACTGAGCCAAACCAGTTAGGGCAAAGTTGAAGTTTTAAGTTTTATTTATATATATATACATACACATACACACACACAGATTGAAATCTAAATATTTGCAGTTTTAAAAATTATTTTGTACTTGGTCCAAATTCAAATAATAGAGTAGACTGTACCAACAACACCCACTTCCAGTCCACATCCAGTGGTTCCTGTCTACTTTGGGATGTTTTCACGCATTTATGTCTGTTTTTTTAACACATAGTCCAGATCTTATAATCATAACTATGGGAGGAATGATACAATCAGTTAGTTTTACTGTAATTACTGGAAAATTTTCCTATCTCATACTTAAGAAATTGCTTGACTATCTTCCATGATTTATTTAACTATATTACCACTGACAGGAATGTATTTATTGCAATTTTATCTTGTTTTTAGAGCACCAAAGAAATTTACAACCTGAGTACACACCCTTCAGAAGATGGTCAAGCGTTTCTCTTGGACAGATCCTAAATATGTGGAATTTCTAGGTCATAAGATTTGTATATTTTAAATTGTGATAGATGTTTCTAAATTGTTTTCCAGAATGAGAGCACCAATTAATCAGCTCCACCTACAATGCATAAGAGGACCACTTTGCTCTATTTTCTTCTTTTAAATGCTTGCATGGTTTTTCATTATATATTTATAATTTTATATATAATGAATATGTTATTTTTTAAAATTATTTTTATTATTATTATTTTAAATTATTATATTACTAGATTTGGATTGTTCCTAATATTTTGCTAGTATAGTTAATGCTATATTAGATACTCTTCAACACCGCCCTCTGTATATTTATGCTAACATATCTTATAGAAATTGTTTGAGCCAAAGAATATGTCACCTACAATGTTACCTCTATTATAAATCAGGTTTCCAAATCAGTATGAATATGTCTTTGGGCTCCCTATTCTGTTCCCACATAGACAATTCACCTATCCCTACAGAAATATATTAACAACCATATAATCAAATATTTCAGATGAGTGTAAATTAGTGAACACTTGTAATAAAGCATAAAATCATAGCAAAGTTCAGAAGCAGTTTCTTTGGAGAAACTTTTCTCCTCTGAGAGTATATGGCACAAACTCACAATGTGTCTGGACCTAGCATTCAACCTGTGATTATTGCTAAGTAACAATAATCATCTGGATTTATACATTCAGAATGTATCTTTGATATTTAGCTGAAAAAAAGCAAAAACATGTATAAAGACAAAAAGTTTAAAAGATTTTTATTCAAACACTAGATGCCCGGTGCATGAAATTCATGCCCAGGGGGGTGTGTGTGTGGGGGTGTCCCTCAACCCAGCCTGCACCTTCTCCAAGCTGGGACCCCTCGAGGAATATCCGACTGCCTGTTTAGGCCCAAGTGGATCAGGCCTAAATGGACAGTTGGACATCCCTCTCACAATCCAGGACTGTTGGCCCCCAACCGCTTGCCTGCCTGCCTGCCTGATTGCCCCCAAGTGCTTCTACCTGCAAGCCTGATCACCCCCTAACCACTCCCTTGCCTACCTGATTGATACCTAACTGCTCCCCTACTGGCCAAATTTCCCCTAACTGTCCTCCCCTGCTGGCCCTCCCTTACCAGTTGGTGGCCCCTAACTGCTCTCCTCTGCACGCCGGTCACCCCCAAATGCCCTCCCCTTCAGACCTGGTCACCCCTAACTGCCCTCCCATGCAGGCCTGGTCACCCCCAAATCCCCTCCTATGCAGGCTTGGTTGCCCCCAACTGCCCTCCACTGCATGCCTGATCACTCCCAACTGTCCTCCCTTGCAGACCTGGTCCCTCCCAACTTCCCTCCTCTGTTGGCCATCTTGTGGCAGTCATATTGTGTCCACATGGGGGTGGCCATCTTATGTGTTGGAGTGATGGTCAATTTGCATATTACCTCTTTATTATATAGGATACCAAGTGCTTTTCTCTTACTTGTGATAGGAGTCAATCTAATTTAGTAATGATCAGCTGATGGACATCTGGTTTGGGGTTAGGCAGCTGCAACGATCACTTCACTTCTCTCAACATGCTTCCCCAAAATGTCTGATAGTAAGAATCCACTTAATAAACAGGAACTCAACACTGAGAAGGAATAAGGTGACACTGAGACTCTGTAATGAGTAAGATAAAATGGACCATCACAGTGCTGAGTTTCAGATAAGTTGGGTTCTTCCTGGGCATAGAAGAGAAGATCATCTGTGAGGGGGACACTTGAGACCTTTCTCTTAAATGATGAATTCCTCTCCCTGAAACAAGTACATCAAACTGATGTTCTTGGCAAATTATTGCATTTCAACAGTTTCCATTTTATTAGGCATAACCTTATTATCCTTTATTGAAGCAAAAAGAATTTCAGAAAAATATTCAATTCCTTTTGTCCCTCCAAAAGTGGGGCTTAGCTCTGCATTTGTGGTTTTCATTTCAAAGTGAACCAAAGATTTGTATTCTGTGACTTCATGTTGGCAGTATTATATGGAGAATAGTGGTGGCAAACATTTTTGGGTATGGGTTTACAATCTCTTCTTAATAGTGTAGCTCTAACTGCTTTGTTTTCCCTTCCATTTTCTGTTGCTTCAGCTGCAGCTCTTTCAGATACCTGGAAAAAAAACTTGGAAATTCTGATACCTGAAAAAAAAAACTTGGAAAGTCCCTCAAATGGACATTGGAGCTTTATAAGTCTTTTTCTCCCCTCTTTATAATCTCTTCAGTTTTCCAGTATCCTGCTGAAAACAATTTGGATGCATACAACTTGCTAAAAGTTAATATTTATAAAAAAGAGCACACAAATTCCCAATAATTCCCTATCTTATATTTATCTTTTCATCAGTATTTCATGTCACAGCAAAAGAAAAAGAAAAAGAAAACATCTCTAGACCTTTTCTCTTATCCCCTCATCACCAAAACACAATATGATGGGTGGTGAATTTATACTGATCTGAAGAGCTAAGTATAAAATCTATTATAAACATATATGACTTATTTTAATGGGACTGTTTATAACACTGTTTACATCACCAAAAATTTGAAACATTGTTTTTGACTATATATATGTTATATGTTATATATATACTAGAAGCCCATTGCATGAAATTCATGCACAGGAAAAGGGAATCCCTCAGCCTGGCCTGCACTCTCTCCAATCTGGGATCCCTTCGGGGATGTCTGACTGCTGGTTTAGGCCCAATACTTACGGACCTAAACTGGCAGTTGCACATCCCTCTGGCAATCCGGGACCACTGGTTCCTAACTGCTTGCCTATTACCACTCTTCCTGCCTGCCTGATCGCCCCTAACCAGCTCTGCCTGCCTACCTGATACCCCTAACCACATTCCCCTGCCGACCTGATTGCCCCTAACCACTCTCCCCTGCCGACTTGATTGCCCCTAACCACTC